GGGGGTAGGGGCAGCGCATGATATCGCCATACAGAGTGGACGATTCAGGAGCACCGGAGACACCAGCCACTAAAAAGCAGGCTTTAGAGGAATAGAAATGGCCATGGGTCAAAATGTGTGGTCCATGTGGAGAGAACAGAGACCAGAACTAGGGGGCTTGGTCCAGTGCAGTCTCCATCTGTATGGCTCAAAGGCATGGAGAAGGAAGCAAAGATTCTCATAAGGCTCCTTACTGAAAAATATATCCCCGGGCTAGAAACGGAGAGAGAGAGAGAGAGAGGGAGAGAGAGAGAGAGAAAGAGAGAGAGAGAGAGAGAGAGAGAGAGAAACGGCCTGAAAAGTTGAAGTAAACCGCATTTTATTTATTATTTATTTTTTTAATCCTTACCCGAGGATATTTTTCCCATTGATTCTTAGAGAGAGTGGAAGAGAGAGGGAGAAACAGAGAGGAACATTGATGTGAGAAAAACACATCGATTTGTTGCCTCCTGCACACGCCCTAACCAGGGCCTGGGCCGGGGAGGATCCTACAACTGAGGTACTACATGCCATTGGCAGGAATCAAATCCGGGACCCTTCAGTCCACAGACCATCGCTCTATCCACTGAACCACACCGGCGAGGGCTAAACCACATTTCATATTCTCATAGCGCATCATGACAAATGTATTGATCTCTGCCCCCAGCTCCCGGGTAATAGGAGCACCTCCTCTTGTAACGAGGTGACTCTTGTGGGATCCTGGGCAGCTTCGGGCTGGGGCTGGTCAGCAGAAAGAGCAAGCCTTGATTAGAAGCTGGAACTCTCAGCCTCACTCCCCATCCTACAGGGAGAGAGTGGGCTGGAGATTAAATGAATGATCAATCATGCCGATGTGAGGAAGGCTCCATACACCCTGAGGTTCAGAGAGCTTCTGGGTTGGGGAACACATCCACAATTGGGGCGTAGTGCACCCCAGCTCCACGGGAACAGAGGCTCAGGACCCTTCCTGAACGCCCCCCATGGACTTTATCTGGCTGTTCATCTGTGCCCTTCATTATAAACTGGTAAAAGTAAGCAAACATTTCCCTGAGCTTTGTGAGCCATTCCAGCAAATCATTGAAACTGAGGGGGTTTTCAAGAACTCCTGACTTTGGAGCCACGTTGGACAGGAGTGTGGATACCCTGGGGATCAGGTGCTTGCGACTGTCCTCCTAAAGTGAGGACAACCTGTGGGGCTGAGCCCTTACACCTGTGGAGTCTGACACTCGCTCCAGGTGGTTGGCGTCAGAATTGCATTAAATTATAGGATACCCAGTTGGTGGTTGGAGAGTTGGAAGGTTGGTTGGTTGGGGGGAAACCCTACACTTAGTGTCTAAGTGTTGTGAGACGAGAAACAGTCTTTCTGAAGGAGGCTTTAAGAAAACTGCAAATTGCCCGAGCCAGTGTGGCTCAGTTGGTTGGAGCGACGTTCACAACACCAAAAGGTGGCGTGTTCCACTCCTGGCCAGCACACATACCTAGGTTGTGGGTTTGATCCCAGGTCAGAGCATGTTTGGGAAGCAACCGATTGATGTTTCTCTCTCTCTCTCTCCCTCCCTTCCTGTCTCTAAAATAAATTTTAAAAAGAGAGAGAAAAATAAAAGAGTGAGAGGAAAAGAAAACTGCAAAATTAAAAATATGCCTTCCCACTAAATGGTTGGTGGTGATGGTTACACAATAACGTGTCTGTGCCCAGCTAGCATGGCTCAGTGGTTGAGAGATGACCTATGAACCAGGAGGTCACAGTTGGATTCCTGGTCAGGGCACATGTCTGGGTTGCAAACTCAATCCTCAGTGTGGGGCGTGCAGGAGGCAGTCGATCAATGATTCTCTCATCATTGATGTTTCTATCTCTCTCTCCCTCTTCCTCCCTCTTAAATCAATAAAGATAATTTCTTTAAAATGTGAATGTCATTAATACTACTAAACTATATACTTAAAATAGTTAAAATGGCAAATCTGTCATTATCTATACATTGAGTGGCCAGATTATTATGACCACTGCATTAGTACTTCGTTGGACCACCTTTTGCCTTCATCAGTATTGAAGTGTATATGTATATATACACTCAGTGTATATATAAAAGGCTAATATGCTAAGTGTCCATCTGGGTAATGACGTTATATAGCAACGCCCAACTTCCTCTCCCTAGCAACTAGCCTCCTTGCAGTTTCTTCCACCTAAGAACACGGCTTGCTTTATACCCAGGTGGAAACATTTACACTTTAACCAAATGTCTGTGAAGCATTTTCCCCTGCCGCATCTCATTTGATCCTCACAGAAGTCCTGGAGTAGGTAGACAGGAGACTTGGTGGAATCCTATTTTCATTTCATTAGCTGGAAAACGGAAATTTAGAAAGCTTAGAAACTTGACCACACTGAAAAGAAGAAATGGTGAACCCTGAAAATGACTTCAGGTTTTCTCATTGTGCAGGATATAGTCAAACACTGCTGCAGTTAAATATTTTACTCTTTGTTCTCCCTGCGTGATCTACAATAATGATCTGCTTTGTGTTGATATTTACCGCTGTGTTGCTGACAGTTACCTGAAAGAGAAGTTGGGGTGCTTCACTGAGCTGGAAAAAGTTTAGCTAAACCAGAAAGCAGGTCTAATTAAGCAAGCTTATCTATACACTAGTGGCCCGGTGCACAAAATTCGTGCACGGGGGAGGGGGTGATCCTCAGCCCGGCCTGCACCCTCCAATCTGGGACCCCTCGAAGGATGCCCTACTGCCAGTTTACAGGGATCGAGCCTAAACCGGCAGTCGGACATCCCTCTCTCAATCCGGGACTGCTGGCTCCTAACCGCTCACCTGCCTGATTGCCCCTAACCACTCTGCCTGCCAGCCTGCTTGTTCTCTGTCGTTCTTCTCTCAGGAAGAAGATGCTACTCGTGAAAGTCGTTACAGCCTCTACCTTGGCCCCCGCCACCATGGCTTTGTCTGGAAGGATGTCCGGAAGATGTCTGGTCAAATTAGCATATTACCCTTTTATTAGTATAGATATAAAGCTCTCGCTGGTGCCATTAGCACACATGTGTCTCAATCTGTCATAGTTGATTGTGAATTTGATTGACACTTCTATTATAGAGAAAGGATGAATAGTGATATTAAAATATTTCTTCTAATTAATTTCCTTTCAATGTGCATAAATTCATGCACCGGGCCACTAGTGTTTAATAAAATTAATAAAAAAGTAATTAGCAAACTTCAAAAAAATCCCCTCCCTGAATGGATAAAGAAAATGTGTTATATTCATGCAATGGGCTATTACTCAGCCATAAAAAGGAATGAAGACTTGATATATGCTACAATGTGGAGAAACCTCAAAACCATTATGCTAAGTGACAAAACCAGACACAAAGTCACACATTGTATGATTCCATTTATATTGAATATCCATCGGCAAAATCCACAGAGGCAGAGAGCAGAACGCTGGCTGCCGGAAACTAGGCGCTTAACGGGTATGGGGGTCCTTTTGGGGTGGTGGAAAGTTTTGGGACTAGATAGAAGTGGTGTTTGCACAACAAAATGAGTGTACTACATCCACCGAATTGTACACTCTAAAATGGTTGATATTGTTATGGGAATTTCACCTCAATTAAATATATATCTAATCCCCTCCAGCCAACACACTACCAACTACAACACAAGGCCCAGCTCCAGTTGGCTCTGCCATCTGCTAGTGTGGCTTGTGTAAGACAGGCAACCTCTCTGGGCCTCACAGGGGATAAGAAAGCCCATCCTTCCTCCCCCAGGGGTACCTCCCCACAGGGATCAAACGATTAACTGCAGTGACAGTGCACTGAGAAGCAGAAATTCTGCCACACAATGTTCCACAACACAATCCATGCTGCCAGCCTTACCCTACGGCTGGAGGGAGAGAGAAGCTGAGTGACTTCCAATCTCTCTCTCTCTCTCTCTCTCTCTCTCTCTCTCTCTCTCTCTCTCTCTCCCTCTCTCTCTCCTCTACCACACACATACTTCAAGAGAAATATGGAGCCGTGTGGAAAAGAAGCTGTTCCCCTCCTCTCCATCCAGGAGTCTCCCTGAAGCTCAGTGCTGCCCCTCCCACCCAAGATCCAGTCTTTCC